TAAAACTTTAAAAGATGCTCAAAGGGAAATTATGATTAATTAAGGGAAAAATATCTTATGAATTACAATTCTGCCAAGCTTCTTAATTTCTACTGAAGACCCGGAAAATGATTTTTCTACACTCGAGGTAGGAATACCAAAAGACGGGTTTGCAAGTGATTGCGTTGCCCCAACTATAAGTGTTCTAGGCTTGAAAATCCTTGCCAAAAGGTTCTACCGAGGAAGCTAAAGCCTCAAACTCTAATGAGGTACTCGTCTTGATCGAACCACTCAAATTAAGCAAACGAAAGATGAAAATAGGATATGATAACAATCCCCGATTCCAGATGGTTAAATGAGCTTCACTTTCTGGTTTACTAGTGCCTGACGGCGCTCCGCAAGGCGTTCCAATATGCGTTTCCTAACCTCCTCCTCATGGGCCTCTGAGAGAGGTCCATTGGTTTCCCCATCCACCACATAGAAGATGTCCATTACACCTGCGACTTGCGTTGATATTTTGGCTCTTTTGACACTGGAGAAGACAAGTTCTTACAGTAGTTAGCGGCAAAATCGACGACTGTTTGGAGAAGACAAGTTCTTACAGTAGTTAGCGACAAAATCGACGACTGTTTGACATAGTCAAGCTTGTGCATTTTCATGTCAAAAGGGGATAAGAAGGAGCACGTCTGGTGAGCACGATAGATAAACCCTTCGGCAAGAATGTGAAACTATTTCAAATATTCCCTACGAGAATCAGATCTTGACGCTCGTTGAGACAAAATTGAGGTTGTTGCAGACTGCATAACTTCTAGTGCTGAATAATCAATAGGCAAGGACATAGATTATTTGCCAACTCCACATACCGACCAAGGGAGGATTGAAACAAAAGGTATGCGTAGACCTGACGCCTGTTTCGTTGAATGCAAATGTTATGTCAAAAAGCAACATCTCTTGCTCAGCTCCCATCACTGTGACCTCCGTTTGACCATTGTCAACTTGGAACGACACCTGAAATCCAGGTTCTTCAAAATCAATGACAGTGCCCTCAGTAGAAAGGACAAACTCAGTAGAATCGAGGGGTTCAGGTGCAACTTTCTCTGCTATTGAAGCATCACGTGGAGATAAAGAGGTCTCCAGGTTCGTCTGCAAAAATTTCAACCAAGAAAATACAATTTAAATACCGCTTCGGCTTACCAAATCCCAAACCCCAAATCCACATCTAGATTGCTTGCTCATCAAAAATAAATAAAAAATTAGAACAGTTGAGGGAAGCAAACTGGGTAGAGTATTCTCTCTGAACTTGTTGTATCTACAGAATCTTCCTGAACCCCTAAAATAAAAAATTGATCAACTTAAATCTTTCAAATGAATTCTAAATACATTCCTGGGTCGTATTTTAGAACATTCACGATGAGTAGAAAACGAAGCATGCAGTTTAGCAAGAATTTACCACACAGCACGCAGCTCACCCTAAAGTCTATCTCAAAGACTAGGAGGAAGAGATGAACCATTTTCTGACTGCAGCATTGGACGATACCATACAACAAAACAACAAGACTGCTGAGCAGATCCTTCAAGCATGTAGCCTACAACCAAAATCAAAGAATAATGTAAGTTGGATCCCAAAGGTCAGCAACATGCTGAAGCTCTAAGATTAGAGTTGAATGGTACACATGATATTTCAAAAGAAGAGGCATGCAGGGTAACATGAACACAAGTTAACTCGAAGACTTACAGGCAAATGCCAGTGAAGACTAGCAGCGAGGGTTTCAACATTACCAACCTGTACATTGTTACATACAAGAGGTCTGATTAGAAAGACTAAGTTTACAATGCTATGACTGTAAATGCAAAGGAGACACATGTAAGCATATCAAACCCAATATCAACAAGAATATCTAGTCAATATTGAAAAATTCAGGTGCACGCTTGACGGTTTGCGTAAGAGATAGAAGAATAGGCTTTACAATAATTATGATTTTTTTCGTTATGTCTGTTTTTCTCTTGAAAGTGAAACATACACCAGGCTCCACGTCTTTCTATCAAGAGCATTTTCTCTCTTGGACATAGATCTCTAAAGACAGGAGGGCAAGCGAAACAAGCCACGGATTTCAAACTGACAGCCTAGAGATATCTTCGACGGCAATTCATCATACACATTATCAATTCTCTAAGCTCTACTCCCCTTAAGAATTGAAGATCTCATGACCTAAATCATCCACATATAACTCTGCTTCAGGTTATTAAGAGCAAAATCAGTAAATAAGACAATATCGTATACCCATGTATTGCATACTGCTATATTAGAATTTCTGAAGGAACGATAAAGAAGGTGTTACACCAATTAACTTGCTTGGCCGCACTCGTAGAAACTTGGGAACACCCGGGTCTAAAAAAACCTTTTTTAGTACGTTACAATTAGACTTTGATGACAACCAAAAACTGATCTACAGGCTCCCTGGTATTGCAATGAATCTTACACTTGCCAGAAAGTTGCCTTCATCTAAACATGAAATTTAATCCACTATCACAACTTTCATCGACCAATCTTCACCATGAGACCACGTGCTTAAAATGCAGTGAAGAAAACAATAACGACATTGTCCAAAAAGAAAGGAAAGTGAAACTTGACACACAGAAAACGAATGATTAGCAATCTTTCCATATTGCAGTGAAAAGCAACATTGTTATTCGTCAAGCGACATACTTAAGACATCACACCTAAAAATCAAGCACACGAGCGCAAGAAGTTGGAACACAAACCTTTTGAGGACTTTTGGGCTTTTGGTCTCCAGGAGCTTCATAGTGTGGTAGGGTCATAGATTGTTGTGTGTCAAGATGTGAAAGGGGCTCGTCCTGCATCACCTCTGGAAGCAAAGGTACTGATTCTTCTACAGAGCTGCCAGAACTTGTACTAAGTGCAGCTAGCTGTTTCCGCCACTTCTCAGCAAGACTCTGAATTGATTTAAATTGCTGTTCAAAGACCTCTGTGTACATATTCCCAGGTTAGCATTAAAAACGCAATAGATCATGTCGTGTTGTAGCACGCCAGAATTACTTAAAACAAAGTTTGAATTTCGATGCTCGAGAATTGATCCGTGGATTAAGCTTGTAATCTCATATGACCAACTCTAATAACGACATTCACATCCTTCATATATGACTTAGTAACTCACCATTCTGGGGAATTTCTAAATGGTCTTCAGAATCGTCCACTATTGGCATGACATATCCACTCCTATAAGGCCAACCATTATGTACAGAAGTTCCCGTGCTACTCGGTGGCTCTGATTGATTATGGTCTCTCTCTGCGTCGACATCAGAAGTATGTGAAGAAGCATCACCGTTACAAGCAGAAAAGCAGGGACTGCTGCGAGTTGCAGGAACTACTCCCTGTAGACAAGGTCGACGCATGCTATCCTTATCATTGTGAAGATCTTCATCGCCCTCAAATATTTTTCTCCTACAAAAGGAAACGGGTTTCAATAAACCTGTAATATAGTCACAATCAAGAGTCCCTTGGTCCTCTTCATATTTCAGGGAGCCACACGAAGATAGTACATGAAGAAAAGAACATGTGACTACAGGGGCCCTAGACAGGAAATCAATTATCCTTAGGAGCAGCAGAAAAAGTAAATCAATAGCCAGAAAAACAACAGCAAAGCCTGGACTCCGGTTCAGAAACGACCTAAAACAAAGCCCCAGTGCAGCCTTGACCTCGCTACAGTTTACCACTAAGAGTTGGCCTGTCCTCTACATCAAAACGGACGTGACCAACTACCAGTTCACTAAGTTAATTACATCAAACGCAGATGAGGGCATAATCATCTGCTCAAACCCTGCATACTGTGCCCTGAGATATCTTGCGCCATAATGAGGTACCTCCGCTATAATGCAGTTAAGCTTCAGGTTTTAGAGTCTACAATGAACACGTGTAAATAGAAAGACTAAAGTGGCTGGAGAAGAGACAAAAGAGTAACTTGCAATAAACAACTTGATTTCTACAGAAGCAGGTTAAAAACAAGATCAATAAGAATTCATCTCAGCCAGAGCCAGGGAGCAGGTGGAATATATGTGAACGTAACATTAGTTACACCACACCTTCAAATCGTGATGCAGAAATAACTTCTGTTCATAACAGACTTCGAGATGCCCTGTAATTTTGGCACGTACTCGTCAACAGTCCAAGATACATGAGCTATCCATGTTGAAGAAGCATCATGGTGAGATATTTATAGAGCCTTGTAAGCAGAACCTACCCTCTATTGAATGCCTCCCATGTGATGATTTTGGTCACTTCAATGCCTCGGCCAAGAGGCAGGGTTGAGGATTCAACACCGGGTTGTCGACGTACATGTCGCATGTAATCATTTGTAGTGTCGTCTAGGGCATTGTCCGCCACCACAATTGCTCCCTTCTTCAGCTTCAGAAGATCAAAAAGCTCAATGTAACGATCAGGCTGCCCTGAAAACAACACAAACTCCAGCCCTGCGAACCGCCTTCTCGCGTCAGATTTTAACAGTGTACTGTCTGGAGTAAAGGATACACCATGGCAGTCTTTGACTAAGATGATTCTGGTGATAAAATGTTTAATTGTTGCAAAAATAACTAAGTAGCCTCAAGTGCCAATCCAAAGTAGCAATGCCATGAAATGATTTGATCAAATGTATTTACGAACATTGTGAACAACGAACCATTCTCAACTGTAAATTACCTTCTCTCTTAGGAATAAAGGTCGAGGGGTCCTCTGTAATAAATTCCACGTAATCATCCAACTCCATCTCTCTTAGGAAGTATCGAACAACATCTTGTTTCTCAGCTTCGTCATGCACAGACAACAGGCAACTGTTGGTGGCTCGCGCAGCTGCAGTGGAAGCAATGTGATGTAAGTACCCAGCAAATTATAAGCTTAAATTTATAAACATTTTTATGTGCGTTTAGTTAAAGGACGGAATATACAGTGCAGTGAGTATATGGAGGAAAGTATGAATGCAATCAAGCAAAGAGAAGACGATGAATGGCGATGAAGAGCATCACATTAATCAATCAATTAATACCTGCTGCGAGGGCTAGTGTAGATAATCCACATCCTACTTGCAGGGTATGACGTGAGTTGATTCCAGCAGCCAAAGCAGAAATAAATTCTGCACTAGCAGGTTCAAGCGGGGGGGATCTTTGTTTACCACTCCCAAGTAACTGCCGCTTCTGCAAGAGGATCCTCCGCTGTAATGGAGAAGCGATACACAAATTTTCGATCAACCAAATGTGTGCAACCAAGGATCAGTCATCCCGGCATAAAAAATTAAGAAGCATCACCAGCTAGAATATGCTTGAGCGGCTATTTAGCACAATCACTACGTTAATTTTAGTAATTATTTTCAAAGAAATTATTATAACAATACTAAGTAGCCCATGCAGGATACTATTGTTAAGTAAATGACAAGGATTATCCCGAGGATGATCACTCAAGTACGCCAGTGCAATTTGTACACTTGCGGTTATAGTACGCTTCACACTGCTAGTGAATTCAGACTCTGTACTGATCTCTTTGGATGATCCTTCCCTCATAAATCAGAATATGACCAGAGAGGAAGACACACCAGCTCCAAAGATTCACAAAACGCGGCATTCGAAATCTCTGAGTACCACCGCATCTCGCAGAAATGAGAATCTCGCATCCTGCTCCCTCCCACGACACGTAGTATTCCCAACGCTCATTACAGTCTTGTTCTCTTTTCCACCCAAGTGCTTGTGTCCTTTCTGCAACCGTCGCTGAACTTCGTCATTAACCAGAATAAAATTCACCAACTGCTACAAGGATAAAAAGTACAGGTATGAAGATAACAAGCAAAACAGGAACATCTAAAATGTCCTGCGAAAAAAGGTCAGAATTGTGTCAGGAAAGATGCATCGAGCCCTCATGTATAGCCCTCATTCACTACCTCGCGTCATTCAATCCATGGTGTTGTGCAATTATATTTGACAGATCTTCCATTTCTATCCGTTCCCATAAGCAGTGACAAAGATGTTATAAAATACTTAATTATTTCGCAATATAAATGGAAAAGTATGTCAAATTCCAACAATGCAATTGTTTGAATAGCCTCCACTACTTACAAACGTGGTTGCTTCGAGACGTTACAGTCAGGAAAATTCATCTGCTCCAACATGTATACAATTTTCAAAGTCGAGCCGGCATAGAGTTTCTCCAATTTGTACACGAAACAAAATGTGACTAGGCGACTACAGTCCTTACGAAAAATTGAGTTGGTAGAATCTCAAATGAATGACATTAAATGCAGCATAATCATTAAACTGTGAGCTGTAGACACATTTGCTTTGAAGTTGAGATGATCTCGATACTTTAGAAACTGGTACCTTCCGCGTTAGCTCTTAGAACAATCTGAAGTATTTGGGTGTAATTCCCTGGTACCTCGTGCTGAGATGTCGTAATCAAGACAGATCAGTAATGTATTCATTGTAGCTCAAATCGATGTGAGAAATTGGCATCTGTACAGCAGAGGATACGTAAAGAGAGCACGACGGGAATCTATGGATCAGGAGCTCACCTCTTAGCTCGTGCGAAGAAGACGTGAACTAGAAAGCGTAATAGAGAAAGTTTTGAACTTTCAAGGGTTGAATGCTGGCCATTATTTCTGGATCCGACTATTGACACTCTCCGCCACGTTTGGCCAGCCACATTGCTCTGTCGATGGTTCGACCAACTTGCATCACTCGCATTTCAAATTCGTTTCCGAGAGCACCAGCCAGTATGTAGACGCATCCTGCAACCAGGCCTTGCACTGCCTTTCTTGACTAAAAACACAGGCCGACGCAATTGCTCCCGTATAGTAAGAAGTGGTGAGGGAAAGGTCACGCAAATCATCACCACTTCGTATCAACAAACTCTACAATCTACTTCGGGTCAAGATGAATCCCCAAACAGCACCCCAAAAAATCGCGAAAAAACGTATCCAGTATCACTTTCTCTTGCGCGTACTAGTCCTCCCAATGCCATGGTACGGCAGGGACTTGGCCAAACAAGGAGAAATCCGCTTGTAACCCTCTCAAAAAGCGATCCAGACATCCGAATGCTGCGACAGCAATTCGAATTCCATTTTTAACAACTCGCAGTACTCAAACAACTTCTGCAAGTTTCTCCCTACTAACTCACTCCACAAATCAAACCTCAACCGGAAGAAATATATATATATATATATATATATATATATAAATCAATCCCTCTTCGCAACGCAGAAACACCTGCGTAATCCCCGACTTGATACAAACTGCAAAAATGAAGTACAAATCACCGGCGGCACAATCGAGCCAAACTAACACGCAACCACGACCGTCACCTCCCTTCGTTTCACCTTACCATCACAATCTCACCACCACACACACGTCAATCGATCCCAAATACCAAAAAAAAAAATGCACCGAAAGAGATATAAACGGCAGAGCGCAAGCTCACGAATAATCCGCTCAGTTCATATTGGCCATCTCGGAGCACGCCAAATTCCTGCTAGAAACTGACGAAGACGACGACGACGATCAAAACAATGCGGCATTCCCCGACCGATGTATCTAGTGGTTCAATTTTGCTACAGACGCACCGCAACACACACACACACCCTCGCGGCCCGTTTCAAAGCTTCTTCTTCTTCTTCGCCACACGACGAGTCCTCATCTCCCGGTATTCCAGCGCCATGAGGTTGGCACCAGGTACGGCAGGGGCTGGGTCCCCCACAGGGTGTTCCTGGAACCGGCACGATTCCTTCACCCACACCCGCACTGGTTCAAACTCTGCATTTAATGTTGCGATTGACTCTCGTTTATTTGTAGTGTGTTAGTGTTTCAATCAGTAATCCGTTTGGGATTATGGTGGTTCATCCCATTATCATGTGACTTGAGAGAGAGGGGAATTACAATTATTATATCTAAATAAATAAATAATATCCTCAAGTTTTTAGGGGTCAGTTGTACGCCACTGTAATTGCATCTCCTGAAATCTGAATCAGATGAGAGTACTTTAGCGTTGAAAGTTATTAACTTTATAACTTTCATTTGAAAGTGTTTTAGTGATTTCGAATATATATATATATATATATATATATGTATATTATTTTAAAATAAAATCAGAAATGATGAAAGTTTTACATAAAAAAGTAAAGGTTTGAAAATAAATGATAAATTTTTATTTTAAATACATAAAAAATAGGAGAAATTTTACGGGTTACGTTTACTTTTATTTTTACTTTTTTCCTTCAAATAAAACCCAACAAACAAAGGTACAGACAATCGTGAGGCTTAATCTCATAACAGAGTTGACATGGCCTTCAATTGTCACAAAATTATGTATTGAGAATTTGAATAGCTATTAATTTTCTTTGAAGAAGAAATCTAGTTAGTAGTTAGGCAAGACAGTGGAAGGGTATCATTTTCTTTTTTCTTTTTTCTTTTTCTTTCTGGTTCATTTTTCTTTAAATTATTTAAATGAGCCAAGAATCATGATTGTAATGAATATTTTATTTTATTTATGTTTTATCAAATAATTACAAAACAAGCAGAAAATAACAACCAAGGTCTCAATGTATAATATGCATATCCAAGATGTATGTTTAGAGATTTAAAGAAATTCTTATGAATGAACAGTTCCAATAATTGCAATTAGAAAAAGTAATATAATATAGAGGTAAACATGGATGAATTAATATTAAGAATGTCAGCATATTTTTATAACTCTTGCTAGTAAAGGTTCTTATACGTTTTTAGTTTTGGGAAATATGTTGAACTGAGTGAAGCAAGATATTGGACATGGTTTTGTTTATGTCGTTAACCATTATATTGTCTTAATATGAACATGGAGAACATGGACTTAAAAAAGTGGTGAGCTGACAACCACATTGACAACAGGATGGAAATTGAAGCTATCATATGTTACAAGTCGGAAGTTGAATTCAAATGAAATATTCATTGTGAAAGCTGACGTTCTATAAATATTACTCAAATTGTAGAACTTATTGACTTTAGTTGATGACCAATTCTCCTCTACAAAGAAATACACATACGTATTTAAAATTTGTCAATTAAACCATACGAAAGAAGGAAGAGGGTATCGTTAAGTGTAAACAGTTTGGAAAATAAAATGACAGTATTTCTGAGCATGTTTGATTGGGGTCGAAAACTTTAAGAGTGGAGATTCAGATATAGAAAGCAATGTAGCATTTACAAGACCAATCAATTGAATTAATCGGATTAAATTTACAGTTATAAATGGTACAAGCAAAAGTAATGATAGAGGTTTACAGAACAGGTATTTCACCAACTAAAAAGTACTGGAAGTGACATTCCCCAGTAATTTTTACATTCAGAACGATTTTGACATCATGCGGCCCAAATACTCCGTGATTCGGCAGCTTCAAGTAGGCAATGATGGGCTAAAATTCAATTAGAGAGGAAAAAGACATGATAAAGAAAGAATCAAGTGGTATTGCAAGTAATCATACATGTGACACAATGCAGCATAGCTCACAAATTTTTATAAAAGTTGCCATGGAGCAACTTCGTAGTAACCGAATACAATAAGAGAGTGGCAATATACCAACATAAATGCAGCTTGCAAAATAGTGTGGTATTTTACTCGTATCCCTCCAACCTAGGAAGATATGAAAATTTACAAAACTGTATTCTGAGAACAGTCACATGAAATCCAACTTTTAAATCAAATTCAGGAAGAATTCCCACACAACTCCCTGACAGAGGCCACAGACTCAAATTTCATGATTCACTACCTGAAGATTTGGGCAGAAAGCGAAAAACAAAAACAATGAAAAATTAGTGCAGGCTTCTGCTTTCCACCTCCAGTCAGTATCTACACTTAGCCTGCACACATCAGAGCAAATTCACACGCTTAAATTTCTGTCGTTTAACATAAGTGTCGGACAAAACCAGCCCACATTCCGACACACACTGAAAGCGCACTCGCTGCAAAAGGAAACCCTACATTACATAAGGCTAGTCCACATTAAGTTAACATGAATTTTATGTGCTCACAGGACAAAATGGTCTAAATCAGCACTAAAATTCCCAAGCAAGAAACGATATTATACTGTGTGCAATATACACTGAAACAGGATTGAACTCTGAAAATAACGACGACGTCCTGCTACACAAAGCACAAAAACACGCTTCACTCCTCAACGTGGATACCAATTCCCAACCCCATCAGCTGGAAGGAGAACGATGGGCTCGAGGAGAAGAAGTAGATGAAGCAGGAGACTCACGATTGCTGCAAGTGAATCCACGGCAAATGGAAAGCCAAATGATGATGATGATGACGATAATGATGGCAAGAACTATAAGCTTCACTTTCATGTTCTGGAACCACATCTTGCGACGCAGTTGCTTGCCTTGTCGCTGAAAGTTGTCAGCCTGCCACGAACAATAGGCTGTTACAACTGGACCCAATATAGTTCTTACCTTTGTCATTAGTTTATTAAACCTCAATGTAGAATTGGACAAAGAGTATGTATCCGATTGCAAAGCCGATTAGAAAAAACCCTGTGGTATACAACGCCAAGGTGAATTCGGAAATTAAATGCCTAAAATACATGTACAAAACAAATCATCGCAGTTAATGTGATTCGCGCACTAGATACGGTAGTAGTTCTTACCTGGAAACGCAAGTTCTCTGTCTTATCAACAAGAAGCTCAATCTTCTCTCCACGATCAAGCACCTGCGTAAGTCATTGTGAAAGCAAAATCCTTCAATACGATACAGACTTCACGGGAAAGGTCCAGCAAAATGAGGTGTAGAACGTTAAGCTAGAATTGAGCTAGCAAATTTTACCCAAAAACAAAAACAAAAAATAAATAAATAAATAAACAAAATCTGTCTCTGAGGGTCCACCCTCCAACTCTCACTGACTACAATCAAGTCAACATACTTAGTAAATACAGCTAATCGTCCCAACAATGGGGAGGCATTGAGCACACCTTCTCGATATTGTCCATCATGATTCCCTTGACTTCCGCAACTTGGGACTTAATCTTCGAAATTTTGTTCATTTCATCAGGGTGATCGACGCAGTACTGCATGTGGTCCTTCAGTTTCGGACTGTACACCCAACAAAAATGACTCAATAAAGATAGGGTTTAAAGAAAAAAAAATAGTACGTAACGAGCAGAATAGTGAACTGAACCCAAACCCATAAAGATGAATGCAAAACGCAGTAATCTTTCGAAAGTCAAAAAGTTCGCATCTCGTAGTCTCCTACAGAATGCAGAGACAACATGGTAAACAATCACAGTACGGAAAGCTTTCTCACCCGAATTCTTTATCTAAACTGTTGGCGATGGCCGAGTCGGCCTTTCCTCCTGCATAACGCCGCTTAAAGTCCTCCTTCACTCGCTCAAGGAAAGCAAACGGAATTTGCCTCCCAAATTCCTCATCAGCCACAACCAAATATGCTGTAAACCAATCCAATACAACTAGTTACAAACTTGTTCGTATAACTCTCATAAAAATGAGATGATACTACCCTCATCACACATGGCTCAAGACATATCATACGTATGACTTGAAAACAAGCTCGCGAAGGACCCCAGCAACCCACATAACGCATGCCGATCTCAATCTGGGCATTCCAAAACCCGATTAGTTTGAAGTAATCCTTCATTAAACTCGATGATCTTTACTAATAGGAACACATCAGGAAGGGAGCTTACTGTAGCCTTCCTCAACAAGGTAGTTGAAGGTGTGTCGATCACAGGTGTAAGTGAATTTATTGTTGTTTGGTGGAAGCTTCTGAAGACATTGCACTGCAATGGTGCTGAAGTTGCCAGAAAAGGCAGTGTACTCGGCCAGCACCGTTGAGCCTCTGGCAACAAAGCTGTAAATCAGCGACTGAGTACCCATCTTTACAACGGTGGGTGTCCCCAGAAATAGGCAACTTCCAAATATCTATATATACGGTATGCCTCAGGCCCAAAACGCTAGACTTCGCGGTCTCCTCTGCAACCAATCAGCACGAAATGTTAGCTTCCATCTAATTGGAAAACCTTCGTTTCAGCCTCCATCTGATACAAGATAATCACTAAATCGACTCAAAGATGAAACATCTACATTTCATTCCAGCAAAACAATCGGGAATTCAAAATGATAAAATCTACCTAAATGCCATCCTAAATTAGAAAGAAGGATCTCCAAAAAGTATTCTAGTGTACTATTTCAACATGTTGGGCTGAAATAACATTCTGTGGCAACATTTGGGGCTCAACAAACAACATGACCCTCTCTACACTTCCGATCGAATCCATCTTTCTCCTTACCAAGACCTTCGAACTTCAGGTCATGTTCCCCTACTCTCCAAGTAAGGATAGTAGAAGCTTCCTGACTTCATGTTAAATTACCGAAAACTATGCAGAAAAAAAAAAGTTAACCCCAACAGGACATAACTTTAACAATAAAAATAGTTCACTCACGACTAAAAATAATAACTGGTGCATTAAAAAATTACTGTTGTTAAGCCACTTAAGTATATAGGTAGAGTCCAGATCCAGACCAGATCTTTACAACACTCTTTCTATGGGATCTACGAGGACTGGAATGCCAATGTACTATGTTTCGTGCCACCATACGTACGGAAGGGCAAATTTATGTGTGATCTACGGCCTTGGCTATGAAGCACGACACAAGGCAACTTGGCAGTCGCAGATCCGGCGTGAAGAGTACCATAATCCATGTGAACAAGACAGCTAAAATATTTGAAAATGATCTAGAGCGCTCAAAACAAAAAGAACAACACTATCACGCATCGGAAACCTGTGATTTCGTTCAACTTTCGCCATCTACTTCTCTCCGACACTGTAGCATCAAATCCAAATACCACCCGCTCGATCTATTGCGCCACATTAAACTCCCTTCCCAATCACGAAACCTTCAGAACAGAAAAAAGCTCACCAAGATGTGCAGAACAAGAACACACACACAATAAAATAATAAAATAATAAAGAAGGTCACTAGCAACAGCTTTAGATGAAATCCGCAGAGAATGAAACGCACTCGCCAGGACGAAGGACGAAGCAAAACGAAATCCCGACGCCTCACCTCAAGGAAATGGCATCCCTAGGAACTTGTTAGATGAGAGGAAGGGGAGGAAATGAAAACGAATGGCACAACAGGTACCTGATCCGAGAGCAGCGTGCACTTGAAAACGCGTGAGTGAGTCTGAGAGGCGAAGAAGGCAAGGGCTCGTATCGACGACGCGAGGCGCCGCTGAGATGCGAAAGACGGAGGGGGACCAGGCCAGGGTCGCAGAAGAAGGGGAGCCTCGAAAAGCACGGGGGCACGAAGAAACGAAGGAAGTGGATGAAGAGGAAGGTCCCCCGCAGCTCTCTCTCGCTCGGTCACTCCATTCTAGAGCCTCATCTTCCGCCCCCCTTTCCCGTGCCTCTCGGGCACCGGTTCCCGTGAATGATAGTGATGAATTTCCTCATCCGCCTCCGTTAAACGGTCATCCACGACCGTGATAGATGGCGGCCCGCCGCGCTCATTCCTAAGTGGTGTGACCGTGGCAACTTTTTCCACCCCCCTGCCCGCTGCGAGGTGGGCAGCACTCCCTCTCTGCCCTGCCCTGCCCATCCCCGGTTTGTGAACTTGTTAAATCAGTTTCGTGATTGTTTACTGTTAATTATGTTGTATTATTAAAACAAAAAAAATCAAATATTAACTCTTTGCTTAGGTCACAATTCATTGAACATGAAAAACGTAAGTTGTCTCCAATTAGACAGATAATAAGAGGAATTATACAAAGAATAATTAAACGCATAACAGTTGTTGATAATGCTAGCTTATTACTTTCTTGCTACAGCATACATGATGACTTGAATAATTTAATATATTTTGACACCATGTACAAGCAACCACTATAACTTTAGCTTTCTAGCCTTATGAACGAATTTAAATAAGTATGTGTAAGAATGTATAAATATATGATCAGTTTCAAAACAAGTATGTATAAATTTTCTTTAGCATCGATAGCCTCCATCATAACTCATTAAATTAGTTTAAGTGTTATCTGAGAATTTATTTACTAAATCTAAGTTTTATATTGTGTTTTCATTTATATATTTATATTTATATATAACTCTTGTACATTTTACATAGTTGCAAGGGAGATATTGACTACTTTGTTGTTTGTTGGTTCCTAAAAAGTTGTGCCATGTTGCAGTCCCATGGGGCTACAATTTTTAATGACTTCTTACTAATGCCGTCAATTATGACCTTCGTATTTATTAAAAAGTGGATATGGAGTTTCACTTGAATCTGCCATCTTAATATGACACTCCTCTGTCTCATAAACATTAATATAATTGGTATGCTACTATCATAAGATTTGATATCTATAAAACTCTCTATACATGTGATATTCTACATGGTAAATGCAATGACATCCTAAAAGTAAATAAAATATGTGAGAACACTGTAAATAAAGTTACCTCTTACTAATTAATATTTGAATTGTCTATGATTACATCAAAAAATCTCATAAATAGAATTTAATGTTTGCTTCACTTCATCAAAATTTCTAAGAGTTTTTGTTGTTATTTATTTTTATTTATTTTTAATTTATTTTTGATCTTCTATGGTGATTCATAGAAGTGCCTCCTATAATGCTTTATCAGGTCTTTGTCAAACACTGTACTTTTCCCTCATCTTTCAAAGGCATGTAAGGAAATCTAAGAACCTCATTTGCTGAAGAAATATTTGTAATTGCTACAAAAAATAAATAAATAAATAAATAAACTGTTAAAGGATTTCAGAGAACTTATTTTACTTGTGTAGTCATACAAAGAATTACATAACCAACATATATTTTTTGTGCAAATTCCATTTTAATCACACAGATTTTATTCACGTTTTGTTCACCCAGATATTATTCACACAGATTTTACTGCACAACACAAAAACAATGTCTCTACTTCTGATATTCTATTGTATATATTTCAGAAGAAAAGAAAAGAAAAGAAAAAGAAATATATATTATGAAATCCCACATGATTTCTGTGTGTTGTAGTTGTTTTTCAATACAAATGAATGCAAAAAAGGTTCTATAAAAATGATTCTTAGAAAGTTGATGTTTCAGTTCACAAGAAGATGTGACAAATGTGTGTGTGTGCATGCACGTGTGTTTTCTTCAAGTCACAAATGTAAAAGAGTGAAACTGTAATGTAAACTATATATATATATATATATATATTCCTTATATAAAACAGCTCAAGCATAACCAACAAGATAAATCAATGGGATAAACCAAAGGAGACAAAAACCATCTCTAATTAGCTACATATTTCAACATAGCCAATTGCATGGGTTTCCACTAATATGTATGTATGTATGTATGTATGTATATATATATATATATATATATATACACAGAATTGTTAATTTGACCCACACATTTCCTAAATTGACTCACCCATCCTAACTATAAAATGTGATTTTACATCAAAGACAAATTTTAAGATGGAATTTGAAAATTTGTCCCTACTGATTGTTTGCATGTAATTTTGATTAGAGTGTGTTATTGTGGACCTACATTGAGAAATATTTTAGATTTAATATTATTTTTGAAACAGTTGTCATGATTTAGCTATTAAATACAAAATTCTATGGAAGTCCACATACCCTGATTTGTGGAACAGGCTCATGCATGTAATATAAATAAGAGTCTTGTTCCATGATGGACTCTTGATGAAACAGCTACAAATCTAATCACCAATCTCACATTACAATATATAAGAAGAAACAAAATCAACACAGCAAATTTGAAAGTGAAGACAGTTCACATTTTTTCAAAAATGACATGCAAGTAAAACTTTCTACTTAGTGATAGAAAATTAAAAACAAAATAAAAACACCATTCCTGATTACAACGGAAATAATCACTCTTCACATATTCAAATAAAACTTTAAAAGTTGTACAAAAATCATCACGGTATCAATCACAAATAACAAAACAGGGTCATTGTCAAAATACACAAGAAGATAGTTGCAAAGATTCGGAAAAACAAGCACCCTCAGTTCCGAGTTGGTATGAAATATTAAAACCATGAAGTGTATTAATCTATACCTCACATATATGAACATGTGACTTATGGGTTTTACAAATCCACTACATTTTATCTTCTTTATTTATTTATTTCTTCTGAACTCAGTTTTTTCCAAACAGTGATGATATCACTGACATGGGTACAACGAGCTTGTGTACTTCAAGCCCGTTTCTCACAATCCTCACAGTCGTAAAGAGTCTTTCTAACCCCTCACAGTTTACCAAAACTCCTACCTTTAGTCTTGGATTTGTTTATTTATTTATTTTTTGAAAACTTCCGGTTTAAGAATGGGTTGTAAAGCATTCATTTCCAAGTGCGGCGCTCTCCGGGGAGGAAAATAAAAATGTTGTGTGATGAGACGTCGTTGGCCTTGAAGCCACACAGGTGCGAAGGAAGAACAAAGCTCGTCACATTGCAACTCTCGTACAAGATGGCAAGTTCGGAGAGGGGACGACACTGATCGTGAGCTCACCGCCAGGTGGTGTTACAATTGGGGCGAAGAAGATTGTCTCTGGAGGGTTGTTCATTCTCGTTTTGCTGTCTGCGGCGTCACACTTACACAGAAGCTGGGAAAGGGTGCCTTCCTTTCTTTCCTTCCTTCCCTCCTTTCTCTCTCACTCTCTCACTCATGTTGGCGGTCGTTTTTATTCTGTTTGTTTTTGTTTGATTTTGTGAAGGTGAGGATCTTGACACTGGGGTTCATGGTTCTTATACCAACTGGGTGACCCTGGCGTGGTGCGCTGCGACTTCTGAGGGAGTCGACACTACTGCTGATATTAGTCATGCTCCAGGAGTGTTGTGAGTGATGGATCTGCACGAGTTGGGCTGTATCGAGTTGGGCTTTTAGATGCACGGGGAGTGCTCAGCGTAGTCATCCTATCTGCCGTTGATCAGGCGTTACCCTAATTTCTTCAGTTCGAATCATAATCATTCGATACAACTTAAGCAACGAGTTTGTCGATTCTGCATTTTAAGCAGGTGAACAAGTCTCCATGTCCTCATTGTGCTGCTTTTCCAATCTTTCCTCTTGTCGAAGTTGGTTCTGCTTCTTGTGTGGATTCCTATGGAGAAGAAAACAAACATGCTGCCGTAGAATGTGTGAGTAATTGGGCATGCGGCACGTATGTTTTCAGTGCAGTAATGTTGAGGTCTCTAAATATCAACCCGACCATCATTGTTGAACAGACTTGTGGAAGTTACATTGTTTCTACAGGGCGATATTCTTTGTAGTTCATGAAGGTGAAGACGTGCGAATGGTTTGTTCTTCTGGGTTGGAATGTAGAGATGCACAGTAACTGATGCAATTGCAAGCTGAGTGTGCGAATACGTTTCAAGGGTAATGAGAAACAAAGTACATCGATGGTGTTTCTGGGATCTAACTGTGGTGATTTATTGGCATACGGAAGAGCAGTGCAGTTACTAGGAGAGGTCCGAGTAGAAAGCTGTACATGGTGGAGCTGAGGCGCAGTGTTTTTTCTTTTAGTGATTAACAACTCTGTTGCTCAACAGGGACACGGGACTCTCTAGAATATCGTCAAAAGCCGAAATCAGCAAGAGTTCGTGGTCCCAGTTCAGGAGGACAGATTCTTCGGGCTTGATCATTTAGTTCATGCTCAACTACAGTGGCTTGATGCACGAGGGGGGTTGTTCATTCGAAGATTCATCGTTCGCTTTGTATGTGAACTTGGACGATGATGGGCAATGGCGTGGTCGCTCAGCTCCAGCACCTTGATGTACCCAATTCTCTAGGTGCCAAGGTTGTTGGGTGAGTGTTCGTGAACTTCCATTCTATACCTGTGAACTTTAAATGTGAAGTTTCGGTCATCGCTGTTGAATACAACAAGCGTGATTATGTGGTGAACACAAGATGCATGTGATAGTCCTCTTTGTACCCTCTTCGGTTCTCAACTTTGAGGTATTTTACGATGTCCATCTGCATCCAGTTCCCTTCTATGCTGGTCAACGTAGTGGAACTCGCGACATCTAAGCGCACCAGCAAGCAGATACCTGCATGCTTTGCTTGAGGAGGTGCAAAATGTTGTACTATAGACTAAGAAGCTAATGCTTATATGATCAGAAGCATCTGTTTTTAGGCAACATGTGCAACCAAGCTTAGCCGTGATCACGTGTTTTTATTCAGCTATCCTGTGTTTGTGATGTAACTTGTCAATTTGTTATTTTTAAGTTCTTACTTTTATTGATTCATCAAATTTTTTGCTTTCCGTCGTGGCCCTAACTCGAAGACGGAAGAAGACACGAGGTGGAAGAGCTGCTGGAGCTGAGAAAGGTGGAATTAGTCTACGGCACTTCAGCATGAAAGGTGATGGCTTGTATTTACTCTTCATGTTATCTAAGCGACTTATCTCGTTTGTGCATCTTGAACCACTGAAGATTTTTAGAAATTGATGTGTACTATCTCCCTGTTACCTCAACCTAATTGTATTATTCCCCTCGTCATTTTAATTTTGCTTGCAATCCATCAATAATAAGATCCATAGTTGTTAAGCTGTAGCTAATTGGTGGGTATGTGTGTAGTAGTGCAAAAGGGTTTCACCTCTTAACATGTTGAACTTCCATCTTTGTTTGCTTGAAAACGACCCAGTATGTGGAATAGTGGAAAGCAAGGGACGAACCACCTACAATGAGGTGAAATCATGTCTCATTCTGTTCTCGTCGTTTTTTTCTTTAGGGGCATGGAAGGTATTGTTGAGGATCAACTAACAGATACTTTACTTCAAAGCGGTGCTGGACTAGCTTTCAATTTGGTGTTGTGAACTGTCTTTGTAGGTTTGAACTGCAAGTTCTGGTTGTTCTGGGTTTGTGTCCCTTAAATAATGTTCTCATTCTTGGTTCAGGTAGCAGACGAGTTAGTTGCTGAGTTCAGTAATACAGATTTCCCTCATGTCTCCTCCGATCAGGTGTGATCTCACTCCCCCGAGCTCTTCGATCAACAGGGTAGTACGGGAAGAAAGAGGGAAGAGAGTGATTTGGAACACCTTGCTTTGCCATTAAGGATGACGTAATCGGGCATAATCGTTTAGAAATAGTGAATGCCTGCCGGAAGAATTGCTAGTCTCTTCTTGTATTTTGCACCTTCCTCTTTTGGTATCTAATGGTGTGATGTGCGTATTGAGCAGCCACAGTATGATGAGAAAAACATCCGTCGACGTGTTTATGACGCTCTTAATGTTCTCATGGCCATGGGTATCATCTTAAAGGACAAAAAGAGTATTCAGTGGAAGGGACTACCGTCTTCCGATGTTGGTAATGTGGCAGACCTCAAGGTGATCTCCGCTTTATCCATTGTCTCCCATCTTGTCTATTTATTCCACTGCTGCTCTTTGCAGCGGTTGTTCCTTCGATGCCCATTGCAATGTGTAAGTTGCTCCATGTCCTCGTCCAAGTAATTATCCGAACGGTTGTTACATTTTTGCAAGTGCTTTGGTGTGGAAAATCGTTGTCCTTCTCATCTCCCGGAAATGTTTTGTTGGAGAAGATAAAATTATAGAAGTTAATAATGGATGGGTCCAGGCTGAAGGCACGCGAATTAGAGGAAGAATTGAAAGAAAAGTCGCTTACCTTCATGAGTTACAGACTCAGGTATTTAATGTATTGCAGTTGCGTGGGAGGGTGTTCGAATCTCGTTTAGAATCAGCCGTAACAATTGGGTTGGGGACCTGTTTAGCATGCATTCAAACGAAATGTTTTGTTGGACTGATGGAGATAACTGAGACACCCTGCCACCATCATCTGTTACTAGTTGCGTGATTCAGATTTACATAGTAAGTTGGGTATATCGAAGCATTCTCCGAAAGGGGAGACACAATGAATTATCAAATTTGCAAGCGGTCTTAATGTGTATTGTTGGAAATATTTCAGGTGGCAGGTCTGTATAATTTGGTTTCTCGCAACGAACAACTTTCTCAAGAGAAAAAAGCTCCACATCGAGTTGTTGCTTTGCCATTTATTCTTGTGCAGGTTCTTGCTTTACCATCACCTCCTTTGGACATGTCTTTTGGTGGCTTGCCTATCATTTTCACCTCATTACACAGCATGTTTAACGCAACGTTATATCTCCGACCCAGGATTTATTTATTTATTTATTATTTTAATAAATTTTCTGTGAAGAATTCTTCAATCTTTACTTTGTTTTGGATGCACACATGGTTGATGGCCATTGTGGGTGCACCCACGTCTGATTTTGGTTTTTGGGATAATTTTCATTTCTTGTGGGATTGCGTGACAGACCCGACCGCATGCCACTGTGGAATTAGAGATTTCGGAGAACATGCAGGTTGTGCACTTCGACTTCAACAGGTTTGAAGTTCTTCTCACTCATGTAGGTCTTTCATGATTTGGTTCACAGATGAGTGGGGCAGTGGTCTCTAGCGTTGAACTTGTGAATCAGCTCAAGCAGTTTTGACCTTAGTCTTCTTACTAATGCTTGTAGACCACCATGCTAAGGGACGTGATCTGGGCCTGGATGGCGTATTTGCAATGTTGTACTAGTGGCTGAAAGACTAATTTCTCATATCATGAATGTTGGGGTTTAGTACACCGTTTGAGCTGCACGATGACGCATATGTTGTCAAGACATTGAGCTCGCAAGAGCAGAGAACAGCGAGGACCCAGTGATGCCCAGCCGCACTGCCTTTGACGATGGATTCAATGCTTTTGAGGAAGATTTCTCCGTTCTCTTCGACAATTCCCAGCGTTCAGATTTTCCTCATCACTCTAGGTCCCCTTGTAATGCTTCTTTGCCATGTCCCTTTTGAAACACAACTTGGACTCCTGTTTCTGGTATTCTAAAAGCTAAGGCGAAGCATGAGATCATCTCTTCGTGAGCTGTAATGTTTTCGGTCCCTTGTTTCCTATTACTAACCATGTGGATCAAGTGGGATAGAACTCGTATGATTTGAGGATATGAAAACTTTACCTCTTAGAAGAGATTAGTGCTGTGGGCTCTGGGCCTAACGTTGCGATTTGATCCGTTTTGGTACTCGTCGTTGATATTCATTTGAGGAGAGTGAGACTTAGGTCAGCTGAGGTCTGCAAAAAGATGTACATTATTGGATTCAATAAAAGGATCGTTTCTCAAACGCGAGCAAACCAGTTAATGATTGTATTGTTATTGTTTTTGCAGCTGTGCTAGTAGGGCACAGAATTGTGGGAAACATTCTACTGAAACTTCTGTTTGCAACGTTCTCAAAGTAAGTCTTGGAAATTCATTTCGTGAAGAGAGTTGGCCGTGGAACTTGCTGCCACAATGTACCTGGTAACTTGATGCCACAATGTACCTAGTAACTTGATGCCACAATGTACCTGGTAACTTGATGCCACAATGTACCTGTTAACTTGATGCCACAATGTACCTGGTAACTTGATGCCACAATGTACCTGTTAACTTGATGCCACAATGTACCTGGTAACTTGATGCCATAGTGTTTGTGAGTTCTGGACTCTACACATTGTCCAACGCCTAATCAAAAGGGGAAAGGCCCTTCCAGCCCTAACTTTATCGTGTTCCATACGACCTCATAATCTAGGATAGCCCCGGATTTTAAACTTTATGCAAAAGAGAGAATGTGGTTTGTTGCCGAAAGCAAAGTCACAAAGATTCTTCATGCAGAGGTCGCAGGCTTTATCTGAAGAAGGTCGCAAATGTCTTGTCCACATCCGCCGCAAGGCTGCGCAATTGTATGTGGAAATGCGAATCTGACGGAGCAAAATTCGATTCAAACTTGCGGTTTGCCAGTCCACAATGATTGGGTCTTGGAAGCCGTTCCGCTGCAAGGAGGCCATTGCTCGTGGAGGTGGCACGCATGCGTTTCGGCTTCCAACTGGTGGACTCTAGTGGTCTTAGGGCTGGCGGGATGTAGGGGTCGCAGTCACAACTCTACCCCGTGAACAAAATTTTGAAATCGCAACGGTCTTATCCGAAATTCCTGGAACTAGCTTTGGCCGCATCGGCATCATTAAGGCGAGTCGTGCGGTCATGTTCCCAATCAGACCCTTTGCGTCGATTGACGGTATTGCACTGAGCACACCGTGTTTCCCAAACGGATTTTGGGTTGTGTTTCACGAATTGACGGAATGAATTGTGTAATGAAGAGAATGGTGTAGTTGGAGTTATGTGGGCGAGATCTCAGACTGGTGCTGGTGTACAATGAGGAGAATTAGATTGCGGTTTGTAGACGATGGAACCTGAGGTGGGTCGGTTGTGTTTCATCTAACAAGTTGAGAGAAGATTAGAATTCTGATGGTATTGTGCGTGAATCTGCTCTTTGGGGGAAGAATTTGAGTGCCACAGTACCTTTACAGGGAGGTGATTGTACACCATGCTCTTGACGTTAATGGTTGCCGCTGTGGTTAAGCTGTTCCGTGGTATTGGTACGTTTGGACCCGAGCTAAGCGTTTTGAGTGTTGTAAGATTCAGCAGCGGTGGAATTCGTAGATATTGTCAAGGCGGGAACGAGATCAGGCGTTTGTATGGTCGAATACGATATGAATGTTCGCCACTTGATGAAAATGTTTACGAAGGGGATTAGCGAAGTGGTTGAAGGAGCTCGGTGTAGAACTGCTTTGACAATTCTGTTTGAACGGAATTCGCTTACGCTCGCTAGCTTCGTCGTTTAAAAAGCTTTTGGATTCTACTGGTTCGCACACTTCAATACCAAAAGAGTCATTCCTTCTTAATAACAAGCCATCTATTGCCGCGATTTTTTGCCGCAACGATCACTAAGGCTTCTTACGGTGAGGCTTGGTAGTACAGGAAGCGTTTATGCTGACTAGTTTAGACACACAATCAGGGAACGGAAATAGATTCATCCATTAAATTGCTGCAGCTGTGTTGAATGGAGCTAGGGTGTATGTGCTAAGGATCTCGCTCTGTAACCGGTTATTGTGTTAGATCAATGCTTGGGAAATGTTTACGTATTGACCTGTTTTTTGAAGATTGAGATAGTGGTAACTAGATTGTGAATCTTTGTCTCTAATGCAATGTAGGTTGTAACTTGGGTACAAATTGATGTTGGCAGTCATGCTTTGAGGAGGTGTGGCGGATGTAGATGTGCGGCGCCCAGCATGTTGATATAACGGCATAAGCCCAGAGGAATTCGTGTTCGCCCTAATTATGGGGGTTTTGGTTCATGATATTTTCCAACCGGATCACTACAGGGTTGTTTGATTCGCGCGTTTCTTTTCCAGTGGCTTATCTTACTCCGCTGCGGTGTTTCTCAATTATAGCACGATGCAGGCGGAAACGCAGGTAGCAGGGGTGCAGCCGACCCCGCTTCTGCTTCAGGCTGTTTCCAAGGTATCCTTTATCTCTGAGTTCCCTCCTACCATAACCCAGTGTGGCGAAATTGCTGCTCTGGTGGTCTTATTTTGCAGGGCGTCGCATGATCTTATTAAAACCGCCAATCTCTTGTTTTTTTTGTTTTTTTGTTTTTGTTTTTGTTTGTTTGTTTGTTTGTTTGTTTGTTTGTTTTTTTTTTTTTGGGACTTATGCTCCAATGAATGGCCTGTTAGATCTGTCGTTTTAAACAAAAAATCTCATATTCTTAGCTTAACTATTTTCAACTGGTAACTGTCGATGTCCAGGTGGAGCAGGTATTAGCACGTTTACAGGAATTGCAGAGCAGCATCAGTGGGTCGCAGCCCCCGACCACGTCCAGAGTTAATCCCCCTTCATGCAGGTTATCTCTCATCTTTTATTGTGCACATTGCATCTAACCTAATCATCTTGAATTCCCACCACAATACCCACTTTGTCATTATTCCCGACAGTGTTCTCATGTAGAAGTTGCTTCACAGGATGCCCCACCTTTTGGCGAACTCTCCAGAGAAAAGCAAGGGCGCTACTGCGGAATGCCGTGGTAAAGAGTTATCCTCCGGCACCAATGAAAGTTCTGTCATTCTGAATTGTATAGGTTATGAAGCGTCCAAAATGGTTATTCTTTGCAATATGATCGAAAGCATAAACACTGAGGGAATTAGTATGCCAGTTTCAGGGGAGTACAAGCGGGGCATCGCGAGGCTTGGCCGAGCAAAAGGCTCCAATTCAACCCCGGAGCGAAGAAAATCTCTTACACTTGCAGGTATTTGGTCCAGCTTTCCCTTTTCACATATTCTCTGCTTGCAGAAACTGGATTATTGCTTTTGACGTCACAACCGTCTCTATCATCTTTGTATTACCAAAGACATTTCAGCAATCTTTTTATATCTTTACCCATGTCAGATGGGTGGAGGCACTGGTCTTCACCAGCCAAAGACGTTCACGACGTAATATCGGAGATAATGCTTGCAAACAAACTGACAAAGCAATTCGTCAACCTGGTTGGAAGCAACCCTAACGCTGGCAATCTGAACGCGAACACTTCTAAGGCCAAACTGAAGTCTGGGAGGAAAACACTTCTGGATAGTACTTCTGATCTAAATCGCACTAGAACCTCTGTCAATTCAAACCCATCTTCCAGCGAAGGCTCCCTTCTAAGTGGTGTTCCCGATCCCACGTTATGTTCGTCTGTTGAAAGCTTGTCGACTCCACGTCGACGAAACAAACCAGTGTCGCTGAACACACGGTCAGCCTCAAAGAGGTCCTCTACTAAGAAGCCTCCTCCTCATGTCTTCAAGGTGGTTGTTGGAAGCGAAGGACCGGCTGCTAAGACTGCTCCGGCTAGCGGTCTTCGGAGCATTGAAGCACGGAAGAATGAAGCACGCAAGCTTACCACGCCCTCACCTCTTTACAAGAGGAGGTCAGGCACTCTTGTGCAAAAGCCACTCCGTATGAGTGGTGAGCTCCGAACATCCCCCGGCGGCCAGAACTCAAAAATCCGCTGCAGTATTGAGAAGAAAAGGCTCACAGACTCGGCTTCGCTGCGGAGAAGTACGGAGAAATTTGTGGAAGCTTGCAGGGCATTGATGGAAGAGGACGAAAAATTGAGGCGTGCGAATGGGCAAGGCAAGGCCGTCCATTTTTCGAACACACCTCCTGTAGTCATTAGACCCCTCACATTCGATTCTCCTGTGGGGAAGGTCAAGCCAGCTAAAAAAGCCCACAAGAACTGGCTCACTCACCGGTTCTCGAAGACGGCAGCGAAAGAAACTTCTCTGCTTAAGCTTAAGAAGAAGACATCCCCGACGAATGATCTTTCTACCCTGATTTCCAGGTTGCCTTGTCAGAAGACGGAGCCACCAGCTGCCTCTGCTTGCACTGAACCTGCTAAAAACACAAAGTCTGTATCCAAAACTGAACTGGTACCAGTGGCATCGTCTCTCCCACTGCCGCCTGCTCGGCAAGCAGAAGCGCTGAAGAATAGAATCACCGAAGCTCGTGGAATGGCTTTGAAAGCTTCAAGGGACCAGAAATCAGGATACACTTCTTATGCCCTGGAGCCAACGGTCGTGCTTACCTCGTCCAGAGAGAGTCTTGCTTCTGTTGATGCCAACAGTCTTAAGGAGAAGGACAAAAACAGGTGCTCTGTGGGCTGTCCTCCTAAGGATACGACTGCTTCCTCGAATGGCAAAGGCAACCAGAACACTGCAACGCCAGCGGAAATACCGTCGTACATGCGGCCAAGGGCTGGAGCAGGATCTGGCAAGGAGAATGCCAGGTCTAGCAACACACCACGGCAGTCCTCTGCAGGATTGGATTCTAAATCCTCATCTACGAAGCATAACTCAGGTTTGTCTCTTTCAATATCCTTCAGATCCTAATTCTTTTTTTCATTTCCAAGTCGATGTTTCTTCCAGACACTAGTACACAATGTGACTACCTAGAGTAATGATTTTCTTCATTTTCGCTAGTAATGACTTCGTGCACATGAAGTTCATTCTTTGAATAACTTGCTAATTGGTCTCTACCGGGGATGCTTTTTCTTAATAAGATCTTTGGCTTCAAATATAGTACAGACTCTAATGCCCATCTTGACTCGAAGGAAAGTCTAGTCAGCTTGTAGTGAATAAAAATTGCATTATCTGTTTCTTTTTGATGCAGGGTCGTCTTTACTGCACCGCGCAAAAGGCTGGGTGAACCTGCACAAAACTAAAGACAAGAACACTGAGTCCTCTCTTAGAACGGCTGTTGCTTCGTAAGTTGCAGCTCAAGGAGGAGGCTTGTTGCCCAGAAGTTCATGCTCAGGCTCTCAGATGTCTATTGTCAATGAACTCCAAGGTAATTGACTCCCCCGGTATCTGATTCAAGTCATCTCACACTTGGCTTGCAATTTCAACATGGGGATCAATATGCTAAAGGTCTGTCCAGATGGTTCTGTCGAACTGAAGTGCCCTTAAGGGAAAAATCCCAGGTGAAAATGATTATCTCGAAGTATTTGTTATTTTTAGCATGTGCCCCTTAAGCAGCGGGGCTCCAACGAGTAGCCGTTCACATTGCCTTGACTTCTACTCGCAGAATTGGAAATTTTTATTGAAGGATCGGTGAGATCATTGTCCGAAATTCGTACATACATTCCTACTTACACCGCGGAAGCTCCTTCTATTTTGCAATCTGGCTATGAAAAAATCAAGTTAGTTGGCCAATTCAGTATAGTATTATTTAGGAAGTGAGTCTGTGTAACTGCCGTCATGCGGCTTTGTAACATCTTCATCTTAGATATTAATTATCAACTAAGTTGTGACCTGCCAGTTGCATGCTGTTTGCACGTTTTTGTCGGCCTTCACTTATACCTTTAGTTCTACTTTTGATCCTCATGGACTCTCATAAGTCGTTTATTGTCTAGCTGAGATGGTGTTTTGTTCTTCGCTAATTTTCTAGCTCCCTTTGGGCTGTTTCTCGGGAAGCAAATCCGTATCCAGCTTGGGTCTAAATAGAGGACGAAGATCAGTGTGGAACGCAGAGTTAGCCCAAAAGAATTAACCAATCATTTCCCAGTTACGCACTCTGAATTAGCTCTACTAGGTGGGTTTGAAGGTAGAGGTGATCATCCAGCAAAACGAGTAGCCCATTCTAATCAAAGATGAAACGACAAGGGTGCAATTGTTGTAGCAATTGTTGGAATGCCCAATGCCATGAAAATTAATAGAAAGGGATTGTTACTTATCCAATACAAGAGTCAGATTGTGTGACCATAAGAATTGATGTTCTCATGTTCGACTGTAATTAGCTGCAAGCGTCAGAGTATATTGCTGGAATAAAATCTTGTGCAGCTACACTGCTGCAACACTTGAACAATGATCGTCAGAAAGGTGAGAACACTTTGTGGATCTGAATAGATCGAAAGCATGCATCTGGAAAAAGATATGTTTGATCAGATGTATGATATGAAATTTCAATTTTACATACAAGTCAATTCCTCAGATGAGATGATGCTGTAAAGACTGTAAGTACATCACACTGATGCAACAGTCAGAAAGATCAACATAAAATGCTTGTCTTGATAACCATTTCGAAGCCACACTGATCCGAGACATCTACTCTCTTTTCCCATGCATATCCCGTATAAAGGAGGGCGAGAAATATGTTTCTAACACAACTGACTATAACAGGTGCCGACGCTCTCATCACCCCTCGTCCTCGCAAACATCTGAAAGGGAAATGTCTCCCATTCCATTACCAAAAAACGAAGGGAGATTTGCATGGGAGAGTAAGTTTAAAAATGGCTGATACTGTATATTTACGTTACGGAGAGGAATACCACCTGGTAGATGGGAGAAATCCTAATTGAAATTAGCCTATCTACAGGCCATTGCATCAACTGATTATCTTCGGAGCTTGAGAAGGAATGTGGTAAGAAGTTCCATACATTTCGAAGTAATAGGGGTGTCTTTCAATCACAGCCCACTCACTGGCACCGTACCTCTGAAACATGCGGAATAACTGAGGTATTGAGGTTTGATATTTATGCCAGATTTTCGCATTTGGCACACATTGAGTCAAGATTCCGCATTGGGTGGCACGCATGCAGAAGTCAACATCCTCAAAAGCAGCCTTCGGGAAACTTTCATCAAAGCCACCTACTTGGGTAATGAGGTTCATGGAGATTCTGATTGAGATGTTGCACGAGGGAGCATAAAGAAGACCTTCACCATTCATTTTGATTCTGCCATTCAGGGTGCCGAAGTGGTCATGAAATTTGTCGACAAAGGTATTTCCATAGCCATATGTGAGCCCTGACAAAATAGCTCCATCTGATGCTGCAGTCTTCTTCTTCAATTCAGAATAATGTGCTGCCACCATAGCTTCTACCCAGTGGCTCTCTGCCTCGCAGTCTGAGTCAATGAAATTGACAATCTGCATGACATGTATTGCATAAGTAGTCTCACAGCAGTTATGCAAGAATGACAATGTGCAGCAAATTAATAGTAAATTTCAATTGCGCACTAACCTTCACTTTTGCAATTTGAAGTCGAAAAATAATTATCAACCAAAAGCTAGACATCGTTACTGCAACATATGTAGTTACTTACCTGAGCCTGGTGTTCGGCGATGGCCAGGCCAAGTCCAAGACTTCTTGCTGCCGCAGGGCCGTGGTTTTTAGGGCGCCTCACAAGCCTTGTGTGCGCAGGAAGCTTAACTAAATTCTCCTCATTTTGACCAGTTGCGGAACTCAAGTACCACGGCATTGGTGAGCAATCGTCAACTAGAATTACTTGTTCTACTTTGTAAGTCTGATTTGCGAGGCTCGATATTAACTCCAAGACTTCTTTCCTTTGCTGAGGTGTCCTAACGTAAATGGGAGCTACCACCGCAACCTTCGGCCGAAACTCGCTGATTGGCAAGTTCAGATAGCAATCACGACAGAAGTTAGATTTAGACTGCAATCTGTAAGCATATCTTTGAAAAAAGCTTTTTGTCAACTTCTGTGTCTTATTGAAGAATAAAGCATAGATTCTTACTTTTTTTCCCATGAGAAAGTTGATTACAATAAATCTCATTAATCAAGGATACATCAACGTTACAGGATTACATCGTACATTCTACTAGCAAGATCTTACAACATTTTCAAAGGTTTTGACGGTAAAGTTCAGATCTTACCATAATTCGACATCAGCGTCCTCAGGTGCTAGCTCCCGAAACTGCGATTCAAAATCTGGAGTCTCGTCGGTGAGGTTTGCCTTCGATTCTTCTGCAGCCTCCGCTTCTTCACCTCCTCGTCTCTTGGAAGTTGAAAATGTAGGAATCGGCGGCGGCAATGAGGGAGCTCGGGTACGGTTCTCAGGATGATTTCTTCCCAACGCAAAACCAGTGACACATACGATTTTCAAGAAGCAGAAGATCAATTTGTAGAAAAAAGAAAGGGTGGTGTCCCGCATGACTGTCTTTACTTCGTACGCAATGCTGATGCACAAATTTTGAAATTCCACGGTTCCTGTCATGATGGAGTCTTCTATTGGCTACTTTCACAGGATAATTTTAAAAAACACACTAATCCAGTAATTTTTCTTTTCTTTTCTTTACTTTTGAATATATCTAAGCGCTCTAGGCTCGCTTGCAAGGTTTCTTCTTAGAAGTTTGCAAGATCATCTGAACTCTAACCTGCTGCTAAACCACAGTTACTAATAGACGCGTACTATTTGACATCTGAATCAGTAATAGCTGCCTCCTCTTATATCGGCGGCAGGAACTTGGAGCTTCACAAAAATTTACAAATGCTGTCTGCAAGCACAGATGAAGGTGTAACGTGTTCAGAAGACTGAATCTAGCAAATAAAGAAGATGTTGCAGAATATCTAAGGAGCCGAATGCTGCCGAGTACATCCAAGTCATGTGTTGAAGCCCATTCGCAAACATGATCAAAGTAAACAGCTCACACAAAATCCCACGCCTGCTTGTATGTAGCAGAGAAGAATTGGAATTTCCCAATTACATCCACTGGACAGAGAAAGAGTGTGGGAAATTTACAACGCCATTAACAGAGATGTTCAAAGAAAATCAGCAGCTAAACCTCAGCAAAAAAGATCTTGTCCAAAAATACAAATTCTAGTGCAAGGGTCACACACTGGTGTTAAGTGCAGAAGAACAAGCAGAGATCACAATGGACGCATGAATTAGACAGGAAGTTGTCCAGAGTAATTAAGCCAGTTCAATATCGTGTAGACCAATTGTGATGCTTTTCTTCAGCTGCTCTGGACCTCCTAAATTACTCCTGCTTTTTCACTTGCCTTGAATTCCCTGACAAGAGAACCTCAGCAAGCTCCTGAAAAGCTTGCAAGTGCTAAACTACAGCTGCTCTACGTTATAAACAAACACACACAGAGAAGACACTGACACTACCATAACCTTTAGTTTTCGTTTCTGTTTTCCTACAGATCTTCGCACAGATCTCTCACCGCATTAGAAAATCACTCGAGCAGGAAATGTGCAACAAGTTACAGCTGGAATTCAAAGTCGCAAAAAGTAGCAGCGCCGACGCAAACAGAGAGTGTGATCGAGAGTCAGAAGGTGGTGGCAATCGTAGGGGGGATGTGCGAGAAACGTGAGAGATGGAGCACATTAAGGAGATCAGGAGCTTGAGGCGATTAAATACGCAACGACGGAAAAGGAAAGCCTGGGAATATACGACAAAGTGTGGGGTAAGGGAGGGGGGCGAGGGCCAGGTCCTAGTATGTTCATCGCCATGGATCCTTTACCTGCCCGCATGCTTGCCAATTCCATGCACTGCGAAAGCCGGGAGCCGATCACGCCTCGAGGCATCCAGTCTGGCAGACTTTTATTCGGACGCCGTCAAAGGGCCCTGCGGGAGGTTGTCGCGCGGCCAGCTGTGCGTCGCCGAGGGCTTGTTCGTAACTCAGCTGTAAACGCCGCATTTCGAGTTGCTCGGTGATTCACAAGTCACAAACTCTTCACGGATGGTTAATGCGGATAATTACTCCAGACAGCAGCCATCACCCGAGTGTCTCGGTAGTTGACATCGCACGGTGGGATCTCTGTCCATGCATGCGGCACAAGGTTTATAACAAATCGGTTTGCTTTGTTGCAATTCGAGCATGCCTGTGGAAACTAGGGAAACATTGTCCATAAGCCCTAATTTTTAAAGTAGCCCCACCTCTCTATTTTGCTTACCCTCTTGGAATTAGTTCCTTACGATAACCTTCTCACCGTGTCTGGATTTCCCTTCAGAAACTTCCTTCATAAATATTAGCACGGTTGTGTCTGGCTTCTTCTGAGTGGTTCCCTTTTGTGGGTGGTTTGTGTTTGTCTGTTTCTTTTCCTGAGTCTCACCACCTTTTATTTATGTACATACATATATGTTTTACAGTTGTTGTAACATGAGAAAAGTTTCGAACCCTTTCTTCTCCTCCTCACAATATTCCAAACCAATTTGTTAAAAGTATGAGAATCAATATTATTTGTCAATAGTATGAGAATCAGTTGAAAGTTTAGTTCACTTTGTTTTTTTGGTTTTTTGGAAATTTTAAAAAGTTTAAGTGAAACATATGCACAAATGTTAATTGGATATCAATTGAAGAAGATGATTTGTTCAGAAGAAAGGAGACAGTTAATCCTCTAAGCCATTCTCTCCCCTCCACGACTATCTAAATTTGAGTTATTGCCATCACCTAAAACAATCTCTGAATCCACTCATCCATGCACCCAATTTTGTGCCACCAATACTCTCCAAATCTACTAAAGTTTAATAATTTAATTTGGGATGCTTAATCCTACAAGGTTATGTTGGGGTTCCAACATTTTGTAATACCAAAAAGAAGAGCTCACATGAATCCACTGGTTTTGCATTGGTCCACAAATTTTGTTTGATGTTATGTTTCCTCCCTTTTATAGCTTAACCAGAATTGCATTCACTTGCTATGCAAATCTACAACCTTGGGATGACAAGCTTGAATTCTTCCCAACAAAGACGTATTCAACAAACAAGTATGGCAGTCTGGTCCTTCTTTGTGTTTCCAAGAATGATGCTTACAAACATCAATGTACAACCCGGCATTTGGAACAGTGTTCCATAGATTATGCCTGCCCAAATGATTTGCAACAAGCTCTGGAATGGTGTTTGAGGTTTACCACAGGCCTTCACCACAGCACCAAATACAACATATCCCATTTTCATTGATTTAAAATTTGAAAAACAAATAAAGTTTTACATAGCGCTCATGTGATTAAATTTTTTACTTTTTTTACTGCTACTAAATATTGCTAGGATATAATTGCATATACCTACTACAATTGCTAGAATCATGTTTGCATTTTTTCCATGAATTGGGTTTGGAAATACCAAAGAGATGTTTGCATACAGTAATCATGCACATCTTGGTACCCATGACAAAGATTATAGAGGTTGAGCAAGGACATATGAAGGTCAAGGGACAAAAGATTCACTAGGAAACACTTCCTTTTACAATGAGTGCAAGATGAATGCAATAACACTCCTCTTGCCCTAATGCAAGACCATGACAAATCAACAAGGTATTTTAATCCCATATTGTTAGTGCTTCGGTAATTCTCTCATTTCATGAAGGCTTTCTTTAAAACTTGTATTAATAATCTACGTTGTTTTCTAAGACTTCAGAACAGCCAAGTTGTTGATTTTGTAATGAATACCGTAATAAACCTTGCATATTGATGCTTTTTAGGATTTGATTAGATTGTGAAGTGTAACCCATGCTGCATAGTTTTATACAGCCCCCTCCTCTTCATTCTCTTTTTCCCCACCAAAAATTAAGTTGTGAGACTCTTCATGTGTGTAATTCATTAATCTAATTCTAGAGATATGGAAGAATTTGGAAATGCTCTCCAAGAGAATAGAATTACAACAGAGGAAGTCGAGAGCAAGCTGACTGAGAAGGAGAAACAAATTCATGGCATGTTGCAAAAGCAGAGATACACACTAGTTCGGCTCGTGTGTAGAGGACTCAGAAGATTTCTTCATTGGACGTGGACTGAGAATCAATTCCATGGCATGGTTGAGCTTGAAAAAGACCTTGAGCAAGTGTGATATTCCATTACGAGAGCACCAAATCACAAAGAAAATACAGTCCTCAATGCTATAATATGTTGAAGTTGCACTTCTTACAAGCAAGGAAAGAACAAAGCAGCTCAGACTAACTAGACCATCTATAAAAATAGTGAGAAATTGTCAACGCTGCCAATGTGTTGGCAGTGTTGGGATAGAGGATGAAAATTTATGAAAATTATTAAATCTAAATTTTTGATGTAACTATTTCTAAAGTATAATTTTATTGCTATAATCAACTAAATAAACGGTTTTTGAGAGATGATTTGTATTAATGTATAGTTAGTTTTCAATCTAATTTAATTTATGGTGTAGAATAAAATTATAAATAAACGTGTTATGTAATATCTAACTATGAAATACTTGATTTAAATGTTCCATTCAAAAAGAAAATTAATTTTTTTATTTTATTTTATATTGTGTACTGATATAATATGAACATAACACATGTATCCATTAACAATTTCTTTGATAATGCGTATTAATTTAACAATATATTATCACTCTATATATTTTTTGTTATCAACATTTCAAACTCATGTTTTGTAACATTCCAAAAACACATGTTTTCAATTCCTCAAAGATCAATGCACACTATAAAGATGTAGTAGATCTGAGTATTTCTCTGCAAATTTTTAACAATTCAATCCTCAAACAATGTTCACATTGAATTTTCCAAAATCTCAATCAACAAACAAACAAACAAACGACTTTTTTTTTTAATAAAAAAATTACAAAAACATGTGACTCACATTGCACTCACTTTCACTTTCAAGTCATGTGTGTGTTTTGTTATTTTCAATGTTGACCACTCAATATTTTTCAGTTTAAAATAATGATAATAATAATCACAACAATCTCTAAATTGTGAATAGCAACATCCTTCTTCTCCTTCTTATTTTTTTCATTCCAAAAACACCTTAATCATAACTCTGAAGACTTCAAAACTATGAAATCTAGTTGTATTTCTTTCATGTCACCTTGTAGCAGATATTCAAACAAGAAGATCAAACCCCAGCCCACAAAATGCACTGCATTCACAAACACCAAGGTTCATTTCTTAAGGAGGACGAGCACTTGCACATGGATATTGTGGGGAACTGAAGGAGGGAGGAAGTGTCAAGAATGGAGGTTAAGAAGGGTGACCAACCACCTCAAAAACCAAGGAGCCCCACCCTGCAAAACCCTAAATTCTCTGGGTAGAGCATCTCACTGTGCTAGCCCTAATCAATCATATGAGATCTGGCCCACAATGGATCCACGCACAACTTGAAATGCAACAACCCACCTCTCCTGTTCCTTGTTTGAATAAGTTTTTGGGGAGCCTCGTCATTATTCCCATTCAGGACTCCTCCAGATGCACTGTGCTCTATAAAGACATTCAACTGTAAGCCTCAACAGCCTTGTCTGTATGACTAAGCAGCCACTTGGGTTTCACTAATCACAACACCAAAGTTTCTCATACTTGCAAGAAAAAAAAAAAAAAAAAACTTCACAGTTCCCTATATTTATTTATATCGATATTTTCAACTTGTGTTTGTATTGATTAGGGACAGGATTTCCATCCATCTATCATTCCACCATGGGTCCACTGAAACAGCTTCATATTCTGTCAATCATATGTCCCTGGTCTCTCTGAAAATGGCCATGTGACCCCTCAATCATGTGACCTTTGTAGCAATGACTTGGCTTTGTGATCTATTCACCACTCTCATGCTTTGTATCAAATGTCATACAAATGTAAAACAAATGTAATACTAGCATTTTTAATATCCTTCAGGTATTGGAATATCCATTTCATTCCTTCCCAATGCTCTTTTCTTAGATTTTCTATATATTTTTTCACTTTATTGATTCCAAACAAGATATCTAGCATTTGCATCTAAAATCATAGACATGTACTTCTCTTGCTCAGTATTTACACACTATGCTAAAACAATATAAAATTAGAATCTTAAGGGATATTTAAAATCTTTGCATTTTCTATACCAAAACACATTAGTATTTTCTTAATGTACTTCTCATATAATATCCACAAGATGCACAATTTCTTGTGAATATCAATACCTAGTATCTTCTTAACAATTCCAAGTTTTTCATAATAAACTCCTTACTTAACTCACTTTTTAGCTTATCACTATTAGATTTCTTCCAAGTTGCAATTAACCTATCATCTACTTATAATAATAAGATGATGTAACTATATAGAGTGGTTTTCTTTTATTTGTTCAAAGTACACATAATAATCAAACCCACTCTTGATTGGTCATAAAAGCTTCAAAATCCTTGCACCATTATCTAAGATTCTGATTTAGTCTATATGGTGACTTCATCAATCCACACAATTGATTCTCTTTTCTAGGGACCTGAAAATCTTTAATGTAGACAATGTAAATCTCTTCTCTTAATTCTCTCCATAGAGTAGCAATAGTTACATTCACTTGCTCCAATTCTTAATCAAAACATGCAATAATAACTAGTAGAATTCAAATACAAGCAATTTTTACTAAAAGAGAGAAGATTTAGTTAAAATCCATATCTTTCATTTGAGCATAATCCTTTGCTATGAACTTGGCCTTGAATCTAGTTTCAATAGTTTTAAAATATCAAGTTTTTTATTTTTTATTTTTTATTTTTTTTGTTATATCTATTTGCATCCATTTGTCCTCTTTTTTGCAAGAAATTATACAAGATACTATATTTAATTCTTACAAAATAACTCCATCTCTCTATCTTCTATAGATTTTTTTTCCATTGCTAATGAAATTTTGTCATCAATAGCTTACTAAAATGTAGGAGAGTCAATATTTTTTGTAATTGGCTCAAAAATAACAATGTTTGAGTAACTAAACTTCATTAGTGCTTTGTATTTTATTTATTTTTAATTTATAAAGTTGAGGTTGTTGTAAATCCTCATCTTTAACTAACTCAACAATGGAAACATCTAAGACATCCTCCTATGATATTCTATATTGATATTTAATTTAATTTAATTTTTTTTAGTTCTTATTCTCTCTTTTATAGTATTTCAACTTTCTACATTCAAAATTTCTAACCTTAAATTTTTCAAAATTAGATCTAGATTTTGATATAAATTTATATCTATTCTATTATTTGTTCATGCTCCTACTTCTTAAAAATATGGCCTTTGATTTTGATAATTCATTAATAGGATTCTTTCTTATTTCTTTTGATAAGAAAGATGTAGTAACGTCTTCTAATTCAATAGGGCATTTCTCAAACAAAGACAATAATGATGTCAATA